TTACAAAAAAAAACAAACATTTCGATCATGTATTACAAAACATTCGATCATGGATTACAAAAAATTCTATCATGGGTTACAAAAAAAAAAAAAATTCGATCATGGATTACAAAAAATTCGATCATGGATTACAAAAAAATCGATCAAGTATTACAAAAAAATCTATCATGGATTACAAAAAATATATATATATATATATAATAATAATTCCTTACGGGACTCGCCGATTCCGTACAGTGAATCGGCGAGTCACTCTACAGAATCGTCCGGTTCTCTCTAGAACTGGACGATTCCCATTTTTTTCGCCGATTCGATCCGTCCATGGCGATTCCCGAGTCGAACCGGGCGAGTCCGATTCGACTCGGCATTTTTTTAAACACTGGTGTGGGCCATTTGTCACCTCACGCATTACAGTTTTAGGGTCTTGTAGCTCAGACCATCGGTATACAGTTTTAAAGTCATGCGGCTAGGACCATGCAGTTTAAGGTCGTGCAACTAGACCTCTGCTATAGTTTAAGGTCATATAATTTGGACCATGGTGTAAAGCCTTTTAACGTCATGCGGCCAGGATGTATACTATAGTTTAGGGGCGCACAAATGGACCATGGTCGTGTAGTTTAGAGTCACGTGCCAAGGACTAAGTAGTTTAAGGTCGTGCCATGAAATACTCAAAGAATTTGATTATAAAAATACAACGTTTTTTTAGTTTGCCCCTTTTAAACTTATTCCAACTCATGGTGACATCTATTTTGATAAATTTCCCAATAAAAAAGATATCAAGATATTACCATTATAATAATGAAAGAGGAGCCATGCTATTGTGTAATTTACTGTGTGAGAGTTTTCATGAGTTCAAAAGTTAAAATTATATAATTTCAATGCTTAGAAGTTTGGTTTTATGGATAGGAGCTTGAAAGTTGCATGTGAGTATGGGAAATTGGGCACAGTGGTAATCTAGCCAATTCACACTTTATTAAGAATGGTTATTTTCTTGTTCCAACAAATTGGTTTATAAGTATAGAACATTGTTGTAACATTTGATTAGATTTGTTGAAATCTTATAATGAAATCTTCTTCCTCCTCCTTGGTAGAGAGAGAGAGAGTGAGAGTTTCCATCCTTGTGTACTGAGAGTATCTTGAGTTGGTCATTTTTGTGTACTTCAAGTACCGTGAGTTTGGCAAGAGTTAGAGACCGGAAATCCCCTTTCTCTTCATTCCCTTCATCGAGAACAAGGGAGCCGGGTCGTTGTTGCACAATCGGCCTCAGATCTCTACTTTTCGATACCGTTTCTACACCAAGACAGTGTCACAAAGCTGAAAGTTCAAATAAAAAAAATTTGGAGAATAATCATCCAGCAACTCTTAAATAGTTCCCAAATTTTCAATTTGCAAAAACCCTTCCAAATAGGTCTTTCTGATCGAGGGAGTAGGAGTAAATTCTGCTCTTAAGTGAGAATAATATACATGTTATACTTTTTTTTTAGTAAGGCCTAGGCATGGTGGAAATGCATCCCTTTTTATTTATAATTGGAAAAAGTTTATATAAGTGCGAGGCTCTAACAATCAAATTAAGGCACACCTCAAAAAATTGCATTAGAAGAGGTTGTTTTGATGCCCAAATATCTTCAAATTGATCATCTCGACTTCAAGATGCATGAATATGAGAAAAAAATTTATTTCAATTTTTTAAAATAGTGCATCTTGTAATACATTTTTTGACCTTCAATTTTTAAGATTTTCAAGTTTTCATAGATCTACTCTACACTATTTTTAAAGCTTTAACTTTTTTAACTAGTGATGAAAATATATTTTAAGATTATCACAAAGATTTCCAGCACTGAAACCACATTTCTCAACACTATTTGAAGGTGACTTTCATTGATTAGTGCCTCGGCTCTATACAAACAGCAACTTTTACGTTGTACTTATTTGCCTTGTTAATGCTACGAATGTGTACCTCTCAAACCTTTGACTAGCTCAACCAAGAAACAAAAAAAAGATGGTCAAGATTTGTTAAATATACATTTAGATACATTTCATCAAGTATTTGACCAATTCCTCGAGGGCCTCAACCTATTGTAGAATTGGCCCGTCTTTACAAATTCAATAAACTCTTGGTCGTTGTCGATACATTAGGGCCTTGGGCTTGAAACCAAATATCTAAGGTGAACCTTTAGAAAGGTTTTTAAAACCAAAGAAAAAGGTTTGTATAAGATTGCAACCAAGAATGTAGAATTAAGGCACACTTCAAATATCCATTAGGTGTTTTTTATATTAAAAACCCAATATAATTAATCATCTTAATATCAAAATGCATATATATATATATATATGGAAAAAGATGGGATTAGCCAGCTTGTGCACCCCCTTCAGCTACGCCCAACGGTCATGATGACGAATTCGGTTTTTGACGGTCACGATGCGGTTTGCGAAGCCCTACTTTTTGCATTCAAAAAACGATTTTTTTAAACATTTGATTGACAAAACAAGACAGCCGTCTGACACCCTTTTGCGTTCAAAAAAAGATTTTTTTAAGCATTTGACTGACAAAATAGGACAATTGTTTGACACATCAGTCGCCATCTAACTCACTCCTACGTTTTCCCTCTCTGTCTCTCCTCTCATTCCTATGTATTTTTTGCTCTCTCTCTCTCGCCTCTCATTCCTGAGTATTGTTTTGGGTAAAACTTCTCTGCCCCAAGCGCACACCATCTCCGGCCCTGGTCGCTGCTTCCCCTGCTCGCAGCGCTGCCTCTCGCGCCCCATCTCTCCACTTTTTCTCTCTAAATCCTTGAATTTTTTAGTGAAACCTCATCTCTCACACGTCATCTCTCCAATCTTTCTCTCTCTAAATCCCTGTGATTTTTTTGGGAACAACCTCATCTCTCGCACACCATCTCTCCACTCTCTCGAAATCCCTATGGCTTTTTGGGGTAAAACCTTATCCCTCGCTTACAATCTCTCCACTCTTTCTCTCTCAAAATCCATATGTTTTTTTGGTAAAACCTCATCTCTAGCACACCATCTCTCCACTCTTTCTCTCTCTGAATCCCTGATTTTTTTGGGGTAAAACCTCATCCCAAATCCATGCTCACTGCCCCTCGCGTACCATCTCTGCCCTGCTCGCTGCCCACTCTTTCTCGCTCGAAATCCTTGTGTTTTTTTTTTGGGTAAAACCTCAACCATCTCTCCACTCTTTCTCTCTCTAAATCCCTGTGTTTTTTTTTTTTGGATAAAACTTCATCCACTACCCTAATCGATGCCTCTCACTCCCGTCTCTTAAAGCCCAAAACTTTTTGGTAGAACCAAATCCTCAAGCATCAGTTATGATTTTTATTTTTCTGTTGCAATGGATTTTTTAGGTGCATCTATAATTCAACATTTTAAGGTTACAACATATATAAACTTTTTCCTTTCAAAATTCCATCTTAGAGACAATCTAAAATACATTAAAGTTACTCTTGATGAATTTCCTTGAGATCCATGAATTACGGTTTGTTAACAGTGATATAGCATTTCTGAGTTGTTTTAAACTTTTAATTGCAGTCTTGAATTTTTTTTCGTTTGCTAACAGTGATGTAACATTTTTTATGGTGATCATTTTGGTTGAGAAAAATAATTTACATTGATTAAATAGTATTTTTGTAGATGTTTACAGTGATTCACGAGTAGTAGCATGTTTCTGAAAATATATTTTTAACATTCAACACAACCAAAAAATCTCACAATAAGTATAGAATTATTATGTGATTTTCATGAGCTAGGCCTTTTACAATAGTCCAGTAGCTTCACTCTTGATGATATACATAAAGTTTGTGCACATTGCATATTATTTGTTATGGTGATCATTACAGTTTGTTAACAGTGATGTTGCATTTCTGAGTTGTCTTGAACTTTTAATTGCAGTACTCAAAATTTTCTTGGTTTGTTAACAGTGATGTAGCATTTTTTATAGTAAGCATTATGGTTGAAAAAAACAATTTGCATTGATTAAATAGCATTTTTGCAGATGTTTAGAGTGATTCACGAGTAGTAGCATGATTCTAAAAATATATTTTTAACATTCAACACAACCAGAAAATCTCACAGTAAGTATAGAATTATTATGCAATTTTCATGGGCTAGGCCTCTTACAATAGTCCAGTGGCTTCACTCTTTATGATATATAAAGTTTGTTCACATTGCATATTATTCTTTATACTCTTTATGATACATAAAGGTTGCTCACATTGCATATCATTAAACTTTTAATTGCGGTACTCGAAATTTTCTTGGTTTGATAACAACGATGTAGCATTTTTTATGGTGATCATTACGGTTGAGAAAAATATGATTGGTAATCTTAAGATGAATGTTTGAATACAAGTATTTTTGTAGTTTGCAGTTTCACATTGGGTAAAGTAAAAAATATGAGATGGATCCCACTAATTCAGTCGGTGTGACATCTAACACATGCCCAAATGTAGACAGCATTGATGAAATCTCGGAAGGTGGTTGTGGCTCTCCAAACATAGGCCAAGAAATAGAAATAGAAGAACCATGTGTAGGAATGATGTTTGGATCAGAGGATGATGCATATGAGTTCTTTAAGTCCTATGCATTGAGCAAAGGTTTTGGTATTTGTGGGGGGAGTACTTATAACAAGAAAGGTAAATGGATCAATAGGGTTTATGTTTACTCGAAGAAAAGGTTTAAACAAGAAAACCCTAATAAAAGTGGAAAGGTTTACCCTGAGTTAAGGTGTGAGTGCAAGGTTAGGATGTGCAAAAGTAGTCAAGATGATGGCGAATGGAAAGTGACTAGCGTCGTTAGAGTTCATAATCACGATCTAGTTAGTCCAAGAAAAGCGCATCGAAATCATAAACACCGATCATTGTCAAGTGCTACAAAGTCACTGATATATTCAATGAACTCAACACTAGTTGGCTTAGACATATTCATGACATATTCATAAAACAAGCTAGAGGGATCGACAATGTCCCTTGTACACAAAAAGACATCCAAAATGAAATAACAAGTGCTAAAAAAAACTTAGAGGAGAAGAAGCAATGGCCCTATAAAAAAAATTAATCGAACCCATCATTTTTCTATAAATTGAGATTAGATGATGACGATCACATTCGCAGTATCTTATGGGTAGATTCTACATCTAGAGTTTTCTACTAGTGCTTTTATGATATGGTTACCCTTGATACCACATATAAGATAAATACGTTTGGTATGCCGTTTGCACCTATACTTGGTGTAAATCACCATTTTACTATAACGTTTTTTGGATTCGCACTCATATTTGACGAAAAAATAGAATCATTTATATGGGTATTTGAAAACTGGTTGGAAGCCATGGGTGGACGGTAACCAGGCATCATTCTCACTTATCAAGATCCTACAATTTCATATGCAGTGAGACAAGTTCTTTATCAAAGTAAGCATCATTATTGTAAGTGGCACATATTTGCGATGATTAAAGAAAAAATGTGTCATGTCTTACGTATGCATCATTCTTATTCAAATACCTTTAAGAGGTGTGTGGCTAGCCTAACAATTGAAGAACTTGAATTGGGATGAATATCAATGATTGAGAATTATAAGCTGGATGACAATGAATGGCTTAGTAGGCTTTATGGTTGTCGCATACAATGGGTTGATGCATACTTGGCTGGCATGTTCACTGTGGGTATGACCACTACTCAAAGGAGTGAAGGGATGAATACACAGTTCAAAATGTACTTAACACCCACAACAAGCTTGCGTACATTATTAGAAGTTGTTGCAAAAGTCCAAGATAAGGTACGAAAACAGAGGAAAAATGACTTGAAAGATATTCAAACCACTCCAGTCTTGCAAACAACCACCTTCATTGAGTCACATGCATAAAAAATCTATACTCAAAAGATTTTAAAGATATTTTAGAGAAGAGGTGGCTAATTGCTTTAATTTTATGAGGGACACTGTTGAAGACAATAGACAGGTTGGTACCTTTAAGGTGGCAGTCCCGGGGACCGGATCTAGACCCTATTTAGTGAAATTCAGTTGCTATGACAATTTCATTTCTTGCAATTGTCACTTCTTTGAGAGGATGGGCCTTCTTTGCAGGCATGTATTGAAGATTTTTATGATAGATGATGTGTTTGAAATCCCTACACAATATATAATGAGGCGTTGGACCAAGGTTATAAAGAAGGGAGTTTTTGTTGATGACATTGAGGATCAAATTCAAGTAACATCTAAACTACCACGCTTCAGTAGATATGTTGAGGCTATGCAGGCACGTCGATCCCTTGCGGAGCATGCTTCACAAAGTGTAGAGGCCATGAGTTTGTAACGTCCATAATACAAAATAGAATTCATCAGTTTGATGAAAAGTTTGTGTGCAAGGGAGGTCCACAGGATAGTGTCATGAGTCATGTCAATGAAGATGACAAGTCTGGTAATCGTTGTAACACACCAAGTGGAAGTAACCATTGCCACAATGTCCTTGAACCTGCGTGAGCATGGACAAAGGGACGACCGGCCACTCAAAGAATGAAAGCTCGTTTCGAGCAATGAAAGCCCAAGACGAAAAAAAAGAAATGCGCAGTTTGCAATGGCAGTGGACATGACAAAAAGAGCTGCCCGTCGTTCGTTTGTGATAGGTACAACATCATACCTTTTTATTATTTTGATTTGCAATTGTATTATCTTCATTATTGTTGATGTATTTGATTTACAAGTGTATTAGCTTTAATTGAAATAATAACATATGAATTTATCTTCCTCTTACAAAGCTAAGGACAAAACACATTGTAAGCTTCAAACCCATAAGGAACCAGCAGATGTGCATAAGAAGCAATTGTTGTGAAGGCATGTTTGCAATGTACATACATAAATCCTTATTTGAGTCTTGATTTGTTCCTGGTGAAATAGAAAAGCATTGTATCCTTAATTGTTGACCAATTTGCTTATGTTTTTTGTGTTTGCCTTTCTTCTTTTTCTTTGGTAATCAAACAGTCACTCCTTAGGGCAAAAGCATGAGATAGATTAGGAGGCCTCATGGAAGGAGCTAAGGCCTTTTGCAGACCAATCTGTTGACCTGCCAAGGAGCTAATTTGAAAGACCATTTATTTGAGATGTAAAATCCTTTTGATGTGTTAATCTGAAAGTTGTGGTAGATGCTTTGTGTGGCCTTGGGTTTAAGTTGCAAAAAAGCTGGTGATTTTCATGTGCATTAATCATGGAATGAATATTGCGTGCTCTATACTCTCTCTCTCTCTCTTCCCCCCTCTCTCTCTCTCTCATACACAGACCACTCATGCCCACGCATATGGATCCATAAGAAATGTTCACATTTTCCCTTCTTAGAGAGAGCTTTATATATGCCACTATTTCTCAGTTGTCAGATGATTGGATCAAAATGAATGATATTTTTTGGCAAAAATTGTTATCGGATGTTATATATTATCACTAGAGCTCGTGATTGTGAGTCTTTCAATTCGTTAAGTGTGCAATCTAAGTAATGGTATACTACATGTAAGGAGAGACAGTAGGGAGAGAGAGAGAGAGAGAGAGAAGTGGCATGGGAACAATCTGGATCTAGAATCATCAATCTGGAACTATTGTGAGCCGATCGAATTTTAGTTTTCATTTGAACTATTATGAGCCGATATTTTCCATCATTTTTTTGGAATTTTTTTATTGGTATCTGTAGAGCACCCATGATTGAAGGGAGATTGCACGACAAGTAGAAACACGACCACTGAGCTTGTAAATTAAAAAGGTTACCCATTAATTCTTGTAAACAGAAAATGCGAGTCAGTTTACCTGTAAAGGTATTTGTTTGACCTATGATTCCACTATTACAGTTTCCCTTCTAAAATTCAAATGTGTTTTCATTTGACATGTGAATGAATTCCGTTCTTAAATTTGTCTTCCAAATCCTGTTGTTATCATGAAATCCAGCTTCTCCCTTGGCTCATATTATGTCAGTTTCATTCATTTGCTTATTTGAGTTACTCGGATGTTCAATCAAACACTGGTTTTAAACCCAATTCGGGGAAACAAATATCACTGGCCTATTGACAATGGCATAAGGTATGACAATGCCATATGCCATAGCTCATTGGATGACAGTCTACTCTCTCTATAGCTACAAAACTTAATTGCCATAGTTCTTTGCAATAAAACTCAACAATTTCTTTTTTCTCTTTTTTTTTGTGAACAGTACTCAGCAAGTTTATCAAAAAAACACTTAGCATTCAAAAAATTAGGAATATCTTATGCTTGAGAGAGAGAGAGAGATTCAAACCACTTAAGAATCTCTGATGCTTGAGAGAGAGAGAGAGAGAGAGAGAGATTTAAACCACTTAAGAATATCTGATACTGGAGAGAGAGAGGGAGAGAAAGAGAGATTCAAACCATTTAAGGATATCTGATGCTTAAGAGAGAGAGAGAGAAAGAGAGAGTTCCAAATTACATTAATGTACAAATATACTAAAGTTCCAAATTATATTAATGTACAAATATACTAAATTGAACATTGTTGTTCTATAGAAGATAGAGAACTATAAGTGCATACAATTATAAGTATATAGATACCATAAAACATATACCCATTCTTTTTACAAAAAAAAAGAGGGCAAACATCAATATCATAAATAAAATTTCACATATGAGAGTAATTTTTAAACGTTTGCTTTCTGAGAGACCATAGCAACATATTTGCGTTTCTCTTTTTCAGACAAAGATGCATCTAGTCCATCAGCAACACAAGCATATGGTCTCTGAGACATGAACCTTTTAACCACAGGCTTCCTATCTTCACTTAGAATTTCATCACACCATTCTAGATAACCCCATCCAGTCTCATTCTAGTGGTTAACACAATAAGATAAATATGTGTTAGATATATGCTTACGAATGAACACCAATATGCTTCTACATTATGTTAATAAATGAATATTATATAGCTTCTAGTTAGAGCATTTATAGAAATGCCTATTGTAGTTATCGTGTGCCTTTGATATAAACACACGTATCAAACCACATCTTGTTTTGTGTTTACGAATCCTTGGAGGGAATCAGTTGTCGAGATCCATTTTATAAAAAAGTTACAGCGAATATATAAAAAGCTTCATCACAATCCATTTATTTGAAATGGTTAACAATGGGTAACGAGTCAAGATCCATTCTATAAAGACTTGGATTTGATGGGGTAAACCAAATCATCATAAATCAACTTTGAAACACGATCAATAGTTGATCAGAAGCAACAAATTAGACCATAATACCAATACAAGTTCAAAGAAATAGGCATGACTCCTCCAATAAGAAGGCATACAAAGGTTAAGAAAATCGGAAACACCTCAAAATCACCAAAAGAAAATCGAATGAATTGATCAATTTTCCAATACCGGAAATAATCCAACCCAAGTTCCAATTCAATAGACATGAATCAAAACTGATTTTTTTTTTTTATACTTCAACAAAATAAGGCCTCCAAGAAAAGTTCTAGTACTGCAATTAAAAGTTCCAAACTACTCAGAAATGCGACATCACTATTAACATACTTGTAATATAAGAAAACTACTTTACAGTTCACAAGTTGCAGAGTTCCAATAGGAATAAATTGGATTTATAGATGGTTGAAACAACAATAAAGGATTATTATCAAAATAATGCTACATCACTGTTAACAAACCATTGGATATGTCACTGTTAACAAACCGTTGGCTACATCGGCAAAAAGGCCATTTAATCAATACAAATTACAATGCTATTTAACCGTTGGCTAAGAAATGCTACATCACTGTTAAGAAACAGTAATGATCACCAAAAAAAATAATATGCAATGTGAACAAACTTTATGTATCATAAATAGTGAAGCCACTGGACTATTGTAAAAGGCCTAGCTCATGAAAATCGCATAAGAATACCAAACCTTCAGCTGAAGCCATTAGATTATTGTAAAAGGCCTAGCTCATGTATTCAAACCTTCATCTTAAGAATACCAATCATATTTTTCTCAACCGTAATAATCACCATAAAAAATGCTACATCATTGTTAACAAACCAAGAAAATTTCAAGTACTGCAATTAAAAGTTCAAGACCACTCAGAAATGCTACATCACTGTTAATAAACTGTAATGATCACCATAACAAATAATATGCAATGTGAACAAACTTTATGTATGATAAGGAGTGAAGCCACTGGACTATTGTAAAAGGCCTAGCTCATAAAAATCGCATAATAATTCTATACTTATTGTGAGATTTTCTGGTTAAGTTGAATGTTAAAAATATATTTTTAGAAACACACTACTACTCGTGAATCACTGTAAACATCTCCAAAATACTATTTAATCAATGCAAATAATTTTTCTCATCCATTATGATGGCCATAAAAATTCTAGATCACTGTTAACAAACCAAGAAAATTTCGAGTACTCCAATTAAAAGTTCAAAACAACTCAGAAATGTTATATCAATGTTAACAAACCACAATTCATGGATCTCAAGGACAAGCTCACTATTTCTTACTGCAAAATCATGAATCTCAAGGAAATTCATCAAGAGTAACTTTAATGTATCTTAGATCGTCTCTAAGATGAATTTTTGGAAGGAAAAAGTTTATATAATGTTGCAACCTTAAAATGTAGAATTCCATATGCACGTAAAAATCCATAGGAGCAGAAAAATAAAAATCATACCTGATGCTTGAGGATTTGGCTCGATCAAAAAGTTTTGGGCTTTAAGAGACGGGCGCAAGAGGCATCGAGCAGGATAGTGGGATGAGGTTTTATCCAAAAAAAACATAGGGATTTAGAGAGAGAGAGTGAAGAGATGGTTGAGGTTTTACCAAAAAAAAAAAACACAAGGATTTCGAGAGAGAAAGAATGGCGGCAAGCAGGGTAGAGATGGTACGCGCGAGGCAGCGAGCAAGGGTTTGGGATGAGGTTTTACCCCAAAAAAAATAGGGATTTAGAGAGAGAAAGAGTGGAGAGATGGTACGCAAGAAATGAGGTTTTACCCAAAAACATATGGATTTAGAGAGAGAGAAAGAGTGGAGAGATAGTGAGCGAGGGATGAGGTTTTACCCCAAAAAGCCACAGGGATTTCGAGAGAGTGGAGAGATAGTGTACAAGAGATGAGGTTGTACCTCAAAAAGCTACAGGGATTTAGAGAGAGAAAGATTGGAGAGATGATGTGCAAGAGGTGACGTTTCACTAAAAAAGATAGGGATTTAGAGAGAGAAAGTGGAGAGATAGGGCACGAGAGGCAACACAGCGACCAAGGCCAGAGAGGGTGTGCAAGTGGGGCAGAGAAGTTTTACCCAAAACAATACACAGGAATTAAAGGAGAGAGAGAGAGAGAAAGAGAGCAAAACAATACACAGGAATGAGAGGAGAGAGAGAGAGGGAGCAAAACAATACACAAGAATGAGAGGAGAGAGAGAGGGAAAATGTAGGAGTGAGTTAGATGGCGACAGATGTGTCAAACGGCTGTCCTGTTTTATCAGTCAAATATTTTAAAAAATCGTTTCTTGAACACAAAAGGCAGGGCTTCGCAAACCTCATCGTGACCATCAAAAAACGAATTGTCATCATGACCATTGGGCGCAACTAAAGGGGGTGCGCATGCGGGCTAATCCCATCTTTTTCCACATATAAATATATATATATATATATATATATATGGAAAATGCTCCTAAATGACCGTTCGTGTAGGGATAAGTCGTGCACCCAACGACCGGGATAAGTCCTGCCTTTTTAAACAGTGATGCCTGCGTCCCAAATCCCCCTCTCTCTCTCTCTCTCAGTACTGTATCGGAGCTTGCCCAAAACAATGGTGGTGATCAATGAATTGACAACATTTGTTTCACAGATTTTAGAACAACAAATTTTGAATTAACAAATTGGGGAGATTTCTTTGTGGAATTTTTCAGACTCTCCATATACTCTGGTTCCTCTCTCATCAAAACCAGATGGATTTCAGGGCAGAGAGAGAGAGAGATATTGATTTGGGGGCAGTGAGAGAGCTTCACGAGAGAGAAAGACCTCTGTTGTGCGATAGAAACTGTATATATCATCAACATACTAAACAACAGCCAATGGGTTTTTAACGTTTGCTTCATCAATACACAACAACAATGGAAACTCTGCATCTTCCTTTTCAATTTCAATTTCACATGATAACGACTCAAAATAAATCAACCCAAATTCTTAGAATGGAAAT